CATTTTGTGTTTGAGGGATTTAGATACAAAAATGCACACACCTCCACCTCTTGACTGCTCACGATCATTCCTATAACAGTTATATCCTGGAATACTAATCGCTTTCCTGGATACAAAAGGCTTCAACCACGTTTCCGAGATACCAAAAGCATCAATTTTGGATCCAGCCAACATTGCACTAAGTTCATCAAATTTAACTGAATTACTAGAAGGCCTTATGCTTTGGCAATTTAAATGAGCCACAATAAATCTTCCTTCGCTTGAATTAAAAATAGATCTAAAATACGTGTTTCCACTAATCGCCTCACCCATATTCATGTTAAAAGACATCAAAATTATACAAGGCACGTAAGATGGGGAACCAACAAAAATAATTATACAAATTCAAAGTATTATTAAAAAATTCCAGAAATTTCATTAAAATGCGAAAGACACAGCTAATCATAAATCTTACGAGATCAATATAAATGTAAACTCATATTATGAGAAAAAGAAAAAATTCAAAAGCTATAGTTATAGTGACAACAAAAATTATAACCTAGATTTAACAAAAGTTGAACTTCTTATAAGGACTGATATTATATTATGCCATTGTATCATCAAAACTAGGTTAAATATGTAGAAAAAGAAAAAAACTTAGTTTAGTGAAGCAGCATCATGTAGGAGCAAAATACATCGCTCAGTATCATAAATCACCTCCTTACCATCGGACAGCAGCAATTTGGCTCTAAGCTTATCAGCATTTAAAATTTTGAATTTTGTTACAATTTGCTTGCGAACCATACTCTTGCATATTGTATAAAGTTTTGCAGCAGCTGGAGAATAGTGGTCATTCAGGTAGATCCTTGCATTAATATCTCCTCCATCACCTTTCAGGATGTCCGAGACCTTTAGGGAGCGAGTCCGGAAGTACTCCTTCATAACTTTATCACGAATCAGTACACAATTGAATTTTACCAAGACCGCCTTGCGATTATGCATATAGCACACATGATGGATATCGTTTGCCGTAATGGGTATTTTGAAGAATTCACCCAAAGCAACAACAACAGCAATCAAATCATTTAAATGTTCAGGCAAACCCCCAATAATAAAATCTGCCCGGTTAAGCCTCCGATGAAGTATATTATTTTCCGCTTCCAAAGATTTCATTTTTAATGAAGTGCGAGAATCAACATCATCAATGCGGTTGTTACAACTTACAATATCTTCTTTCATGCCATTCAAACATGAAACCATCTCGGCTTTTATGTTATCAAGTGCACTTTTAATAGCATTCTGCTCAGCTTGATTTGTAGTAATAAAATTGTCGAATTTCTTATTGAGCTGGCGGATATCATCAGCAACACTTCCTGGATTGGCAAGTTTGTCTCCACAAGAACTACAAACAAATGCTGCTACTTTGATCGCCTTCATAGCCAACAATTCCTTATCAGATAGCTGGGCACATGATGCATGTACCCAGTGTGAGCAAATTATGCATTTGATGCTACCACTCTTCCCAACATTTTCAGAGCACACACCACATACAATTTTAGCGGCACCCGGCATATTGAACAAGAACAAACAGCATACAACAACAGCAACAAGTAGCGTAAAAAGCAAAGCAACTACAGTTAGAATCCAATTCAGCAATGTATTATAATCTTCACAGCAACACGCCAAACTCCAGATAAAGCTTGTATACTTTTTCACAAAAATCCAAAGTTTATCTTTTAAATTTCAATTTCTCCACAATGCTCTTACAAAATTCATAAAAGCAAACACAAATTTAGAGATGTATATACGCTTTAGCAAGACAAACGCGAAATATGATCAGCTGCACAATTTCTCACTTCTATTCAGTCATGGCGTTGCCAGATTATTCATCGATTATTATATCATTAATTTTATAATTTTCATTCACGTTTTCAACTTTTTGTGCAAATGTTGACATTTTGAACATATTTTTGTATTTTTCTATTTTTAAATTTTGCTGGAGAGACACTTGTCAAACATTTTTTCTGTCGATACAAAGTTTTTGAAAATATTGCCTCTTTTTTTTGCAGTTTTCTGTGGAAATTTCAACTCGTGGATAAAATGCGTACCTCAAATGAGAGAGAAAACAAAATGTACTTTCGTTTGAATGTACATACGCCATTCAACATTGTAGTTTTCATTCATAATTTTCAGTCTTCCCAAAAATTTTTAAAATTTCATTAAATTTTTCTATTTTTAATTTTTAAATGTCATAATTTATTTTTTCGATAAATGCTCTCATTTGTTAGGGATGGGACATATTTTTTCGTTGTTCTGAGAGTAATTTGATTTGAACAACGTACAAATATGAGTGTTCGCTCAGGAAATTTTGTGTGAAGAATAATGTAGTTTTTTCATAGTTAAGGGTCTAACAACGAATAGAGAGCGAATCAAGTGCAGTGGAAACGCCACATTAGGAAATATATGGAACGATTTCTCAAATGATAGATATGCGAACATTAACAATTATAATAAGCTTAACAAATGTCAGTCACCGCGTTTCTGTTTGCCCAGGTTTACCACTTTTCGACATACGTCACCATTTCTGACAGACAATATATGGGTATTACTTCTTTCTCTTCCTCATTCGTCTTTTACTTTCTTGACTGCTTTTCAGACATGGCAAATGGTTCCCCATCGTTGAAGAAACTGCCCCGTTCAGAATGTCTAAAGTCAGGAGATGTGCGGCTAGATGCGATGATGGGGATGCCGTCTGAACCTATGGTTCGTCAGGCTTGGGGATACCAAACTGTGACTTTTTGGAAATTTTTTTCAATGCTTCTGCCTGATCTCCACTCTACAGGGTGAGATAAATAAATGCAACAAAGTCAAACGCCATAACTTTATCTCTTTTTTTTAATTTTATTTGATAAAAGCAAAAAATGTCGGAAATAGCATCAAATTTTAGAATAAGTTTAGATTTGTTCGAATTGGTCATCTTTGGCACGAATTATGTCCTTCAACCGGCACACGCTGCCCGAATGTTGCTCTGCGGTATTTTGGCCCATTCTGGCGAAGCGTTTGCTTGAGTTGACACTTTGGTATTTTTTAGTGTCAACCTTGCTTTCCAAAATACTCAAGACACAATAGTCTAACGGATTGGTATCCGGAGATTTTGGTGGCCTTTGTGCGCTGGAAATGAAGCGTGGAACCTCAATTTATAACCATTCTTGGGTGGCACGCGCTTAGTGCAATGGTGCTGGGTCGTGTTGGAATGTCCAAGGTCTGCGGACAAAATGTTTGCCACGCCGATTAATACGAGTGGAGAGCGACCATCGACTGTTATGGCGTCCCACACCATCACCATGGCCGGCGCTTGAGTTCTGGTTTCCAACCGAAGGTGCACATTTTCAGCTGATCTCTTTGGCAAGTATTATCGTGTTCATTTTGTTTCTTTACAAACTGCTGGACAACGAATGTTTTCTCATCGGATAAAACCAAATTCGGCAGTTCACCACTTTCGTCCAAGCGAAGCAACTTTTTAGCTCTTGAGTTTATTTTCTTTCTGTTGCGGTGTAAGTTCTTGCACTTTTTGGAATTTCAATGGCTTTACCCCGACCTCATTTTTCAATATTTGCGAATGGAATATTGCGATATGTTCAGCTCAGTAGCCATTTTTCGGACACAGCGACGCGGGTTTCGATCAAGTCGATTTTTTACTTTTCGATCCATGTCTGCTCATGTTGCTGTTTTCTTCCGTGCACTTCCTTGACGTCGCTTTTTTACTTTTCGATCCATGTCTGCTGATGTTGCTGTTTTCTTCCGTGCACTTCCTTGACGTCGCGCTACGCTACCAGTATCACGTTAACGAGCGTTGGTACGAGACACAAGAGATTTATTCACATTTAAATACTGGAGTGCTCTAACGATAGCCACTTGTGGTTTTCCAGCCAAACATAAATGCACACTATTACGGTTGAATTCCATCACGAATATTTTTTTTCTGGAAAATGGTCACCAAAATGCATTTATAGGCTTGTAAATAATATAATGAGCTGTCACTGGAATAATTTTAACAGCTGTCCGACGAGTGGCTTACAAATGACAGCAGTCTAAAGTTGGTTGCAGTTTTTTCATCTCACCCTGTAACCATATGCTTTCGTTGCAGTACCTGCTTGTTATCGTGGTGGATAAAACTCTCCCACTCAGGAAGGACAAACATTGTTTTAGAGAGGGAGGTCCAACGCTACAAGAGACTGCCTCTAGATCGAGAAACCTACCAGGCAGGTCTGAGAGGCATTCATACCGAAGAGGTCAGAGATGTCATCAACAATTATATGATGAATCATAAGACCACACCTCATCCATTGCAGGTGAACCAGGTAGTTTTGGCGGAATTGCGTTCAGGTTGGTGCAGTTATCTCAATTCATTTTGGTTGCGAATTGTCGAAGATGTGCGCAGCGTCTGTCCGGCGTATTATACAAGCCTGCCCAATACGCTGCACCTTTTCAATTACCCGGCCAAAACTACCTCACTCAGTTTAGAAGACTTCTGTTTACATACGACCAAAGTATTCGAATTTTTGAACGTGGAATTAGAACCAGATTAGCAGAAAACAAACACACCATGTATAACTTTTACAACAACGAAAAAATATAATATTTATATATATATAATATATAAATATAATAACGATAAAAGTTAAAGAAAATGTAGTTTAAGATGGTCTGATGTTTTTGGTCAAAATTGAGACTGAAAAAGTGTTGAAATATAACGTATTAAAAATGCAATTGATTTAACACAAATCACCGGCGTAACCAGAAATACTTTTAGAAACAATTTTTTGGGGAACAACAGACACAAATGGCCTTTCTCGAGCATTACAGAGGGGCTCCAAGGTTGCCCCTCTTTACAACGTCGTTGACCCCAACATGATAAATTAAAACAAGGCAATAATTATGCATTTTGCAAATGTATTTTATTTTATGTTGTTTTAATATTACTTATACATATGTATATTTTTAATTTTAAATGCAGCGAATTTATATGAAATTGTATAAGTAAACAAATGCCTTTTATTTGTGTGTATGTGTGTGTGTGTGTGTTTACACGTGTAACACATATGAAAATATACATATATAAAAATGCTATGATATATATCTTTTTGCATATATAACTTAAAACGAAATATAATAAATGTTTGTGTACATGTTTTACAACTACAATGAGGAGGAGGGGGGGTGGTTGATTTTGGGGAATAATGAACATTTATAAACAATTTATTCAATAAATATACATAAGTTGGGACAATACAATGAATGACGATGTCGCTGCATAATAATTATACATATAAATATTTATTTTTTTGTTTGTATTGAATTTACATTCATATTTAGGTACTGTATTGAAAAAAAAAATTGGATTGATTTTTTAAATAACTTGGCATAAGGAAAATCTTAGTACTTAAGACGGGTTTATATATGTCGAATGAAAATGGGTTTCAATTTTTTTTCAACTTTTTGTAATTTTTTTAATATTTAAATACAATTTGAAAAATTGAACAATTTACATAGAATTGGTATTTTTCTTTCGCATTAATTTTCTTTAGACATACAGAAACAGACCGTTAATATTATTTATGTTTTTGACAATGTTTGAGGTATGCTCGAGCAGTGTAGTTATTAAAAATATATATTTTTAGTGGATTGATTTTTTAAATAACTTGGCATAAGGAAAATCTTAGTATTTTAAAGACCTAATTATGTATGTCGAATGAAAATGGGTTTCATTTTTTTCAACTTTTGTAATTTTTTTAACATTTAAATACAATTTGAAAAATTGAACAATTTACATAGAATTGGTACTTTTCTTTCGCATTAATTTTCTTTTTACATACATAAACAGACCTTAAATATTATTTACGTTTTTGACAAAGTTTGAGGCATGCTCGGGCAGTGTAGTTATTAAAAAATATATTTTTTAGTGGATTGATTTTTTAAATAACTTGGCATAAGGAAAATCTTAGTATTTAAGACCTGTTTATGTATGTCGAACGAAAATGGGTTTCAATTTTTTTTTCAACTTTTTGATTTTTTTTTTAAATATTTAAATACAATTTGAAAAATTGAACAATTTACATAGAATTGGTATTTTTCTTTCGCATTAATTTTCTTTAGACATACATAAACAGACCGTTAATATTATTTACGTTTTTGACAAAGTTTGAGGTATGCTCGGGCAGTGTAGTTATTAAAAAATATATTTTTTAGTGGATTGATTTTTTAAATAACTTGGCATAAGTGAAATCTTAGTATTTAAGACTTGTTTATGTATGTCAAACGAAAATGGGTTTCAATTTTATAAATTTAAATATTTAAATACAATTTAAAAAATTGAACAATTTACATAGAATTGGTATTTTTATTTATTTTATTTATTTTCTTTAGACATACATAAACAGACCGTTAATGTTATTTATGTTTTTGACAAAGTTTGAGGTATGCTAGGGCAGTGTAGTTAGCAAAAAAAATATATATATATTATTTTTTACTATTATTGTAGTCAACGGTTTCGTTGAGTATGGTTTTCTTGATATTAACTTCAACTCATTTTGAAACCAACTCCAAATACTGTATTTTTTCTTGAAAGAAATTTTAGTTTATGAATAAAAGTGGGGAAAGAAACGAATTCATCATTCTTATTTCCCTCCAAAAAAAAATTCTTTCAAGAAAATGTTTGGTATCCGGCTCAGGTATCAATAAAAACTATTTTGACTACACAAACGATTTATCTTAATTTTAATAGCTATATATAAATTAACGAAAAATATGCATAAATACGTACAAAAAGATATGATATAGAATATATAAAAGAATAATGAACACTTTTTATTGTTGTTGCTTTTGTTTTGTTATATATAACAACTTTTGAAATGCATTAAGGAATTGTATTTGTTGAACGCTAGTGTCTCGGCTATTGTTTTATCATTGTTTTTGTTGTTATGTTTTTTTACTCTAAGGTAACACATTTCTAAAACTACTATTTCTTAAATAATATTTGAACTTATTTAACACGGATCATAAACAAACAAAAAAAAAATAATAAATAAATATTTAACTTTTACAACGGCTCTTGTTGAAAGTATTCATGATCTAGACAGGCCAATGCTGAGGGTCGTAAACGTAAATCATACGACAGCATTTGCTGCAAAAAATATAGAAAAACATGATTACAGATTAGCAAAGTTTTTAAATATATACGTTCATATGAATTTTAAAATATTTAATTTTATTACAAAGCTCTCGTTGCATACATTACAAACATTAGATGAGATTTAAAGACGACGCCGGAAGGCTGACAAAGTTCTTTAAAAGATAGCTGCCAAACTACGCTGTGCGACAAAATTCAACTGTTTCCTAAATGACTTGAGCTCTAAATATAAGACAATCGTTTTGAAACCGTGTATCGGAAATTAAAAAAAAATGGGGCGGGAAAGTTCGAGTTAAGATGAAAATAGTCAAGTTAAGATTCCTTGGAACCTATGCATTTTATGTACATTGAGTTTTTAACAATATTACAGGCAATGAAATCAAATTAATCCTCAAAGGAGTCGGTTGGGCATTAGATCAAAATATTCTACAGAATTGTCCGTCATAAAATTCGACAAAATATTTTTGAATAAACCAAAACCAGCCTAAAATGTTTAATGTACATATTTCAGTCAAAATTCGAAGCAACTCTATCTATTATGGGTCACGGGAGTCAGAAGCGTAATAAAAATCACTGCCGTCGTTTTGACAATGGTTATTTTAGGTTAAAGGATGCGCAGTTGTTTTAAGACAACTGCTCTACTTGAAGATCTGCTGGTCCATTATGTATATCCTAATTTGAAACGAAACAGAAGAGAGAAGTAGAGAAATTACAAGTAAAAATATTAAGTTCTGCGCGTGACGTACTTTTAATACTCTTCATCATTTACTAAAGAAAACATTTCAATCTGAGTTAAACGTTTTCCACTTTAAACTACAAATACCAGTAAGACCGTTGGATAATGCCGTTTAAATGAAAAATAGGTAAAAAACTTTTTAAGTTAAAAGGTTTTATGTTAAACATCCATTGCAATGTTTAAGATAAATATACTAAAAATCAAAAAATAATAAAATATAGATACAGTCGTGGGAATTATAAACATATGCATAGACTTGACTAAAATAAAACCGAGGGGCACTTCAATTGCATATATTGTAGAGAATTGACAGAATTACAGATGCAATTTCTAACTTTAAATCTTATTATTATACGCCATTTAGTGGCTGCGCCATCTTAAATATTGAACTTGTATAGTATAATGTATTCTTCTTGTCATGCCTTTTTATTTGATACCCATATTGGTGGAATTGATAAAAAAATGGTATCAGCCATTTGGTAGCGGCCGCCGTCTTGGATTTCAATTTTTTATATTATATTGTATTATGCTTTTTGAGCCCTTTCATTTGATACCCATATTGATGGGATTGATAAAACCTACGTTATCCGCCATTTTGTAGCGGCCGCCATCTTGGATTTATAATGATAATGAATAAACATAATTGTATTGTCACCAAAATCCGAAGTGTATACAAAATTTCAGATTAATCGGTTGTCAGGCAGAATTTGAATTGAATTTGAATTACTAAATTTGACCCAAGAATAAATAATAAATAAAAAATAAAACAAACGGGGTGAGCTAAATATAACCTTTTAAAATACCATATAGTGGGCCGTTATATGTGGGCCATACCAAAACGGGAAAGTCTATAGACTATTTTATACTTCAAGGATTGTCATCTACGAATATATATATATATATATATATATATATTATTGTTATTGAAATCCTAATGCTAAAACGTGAACTTAGATCCGCTTCCGAAAGTCTGGGTTCGAGCTGACACTCTTACCTTCCCATAATGCTACAATATGTGGTAGTACCTTTTTCGGGTTCAGAGATATGGGTCTTTCCACCAGCATAACCCGATTCTAACCAGTTCATTAATATATCGGGTAAGTGGATCCGAGTCTAGTCGGGGCCTTAAACCCGCACTTTCGGATAAAAAATCTGGGGTCCTGGGTACCGTTATGGGGGGGAGGCTATACAAAAGCGTGGACCCATATATACAATATTTCGCCAGCGAAGGTAGAACCCATTATGACTTAAAAATACAAATTTTTAGGCAAATCCGTGAAAAATATGGCGAAAATAACCGAATATTGGGAGGTACCGTTATATGGCGGCCATACCAAAACGTGGACCGATACGGTCTATCGAATATGACCCCTACTACTTTTGGGAATTTAGAACACGTTATGAATAGTTTGGAATTATTAGCGGATATTTTAATATGCCTAATAATGTAGAAAGCGTTTAGATCGACTAAGAGGCGATTCGACCGATCATAAATTTTGTCAATGGTTCCGTACGTCATGAGCGTACAATCATTTGCGAACGTTTTAGTAGCAAAATGTTTAAAGCCGTCCTTGAACTACTTGAATTCATTAAGCTATTGGAGAACGGATGCCTGATGAATTACCATGAGGAGGATCCCAGACGAGACAGTTGAAAAGGTGCTATGCAACGTCCCATGCGTTCAATCAGGAGACGTGGGATATTTGCTAGGATGGAGATATAAACCAGAACGTTCATCTCAGGCATAAATCCCATCATCATCTAGGAGTAAGGTAAATGAATCCCCTGGCTAAGTAAGTCACCCTCTTTGGGGAACTCCCTGTTTCACTTTACGGATATGCGACTTCTTGTGTTTGAATTCCATGTACGACTAGCGTCCACACATGAAGTTGACGGCCCACCGTTTTAAACATGGCCGAAGGGTAGTAGTATGCTCAACGTCCTAAACAGTATACGTGGTTGACGGTATTAAAACCTTTTCATAAATCAAGAGCCAACATAAATGTTCTATCGCACTACCTATTCTTGGTCAGTGAGTCAATATGTGTTGAAATGTCGTGAAAAAGAGTAAGAGTGCTGTCTTGCTTATATAAGCTGGGGCTTGGTTGCCGTAAAGCTCTCTCTGCTCCTGGAGAGGGGTATTGCCTCAATCATATCCGCTTCTGGCGGAAACGCTGAAATTAGCCCTAGCCAAGTAAGTCCAATCTACCAATCTTTAAGATAGATTAGTTCCAACTTTGCATAGTTCTTCCGACTGAAAAAAATGTTCGCTCCAAAAATCCTAATATTTTCGCAGTCAACAAATTTGCGAAAGAACGAAAACTACTATAGTTCCAAACTATTCACTACTGTTGAACAAATACTTACTGCCAGTAGATCATTTGCATATTCGCACAGGTTTGGACATAAATCCCTTGGTTGTTTGGGATGCCGCGCGGGAAAATGTTCTCGTGATAAGGAGATGGTTCTTGGCCACTGTTGAGCTGTTGGCCGGCCAGTTAATCTGGAAACAAATGATAGAAATTTTTTTAAAATACAGGAATTAAATATCGATTACATATTTATTCAAATTTAAATGTTTTGTGCAAACTATACTTTGTTTTTTAAATTTACTATCTAAATAGTCACTGCTTCAATAATTAATATGAATATTTATAATTAAGATGGACCTTCATTGCGGCTATCTTAAGAAATATATTAAACTATAGTTTGCACAATAAATAAATAACAAAGTACTAAACCCGGTATACACAGATGTATTTACTCACTCAAATATCCGATCCAGCTGATTTGCTTCTGATGTGCCGGGGAACAGAGCTTTACGTGAGAACATTTCCGCAATGATACATGCCGAACTCCAGATATCAACAGAACTATTATATGTTTGGGCCAACAGGACTTCGGGAGCACGATACCACAGTGTAACGACCACCGATGTTAGTTTCATTTCAAAATCATAAGTTTTGGCCAAACCGAAATCGGCAATTTTCAAATGTCCCTGGGAGGAAATTAAAAGATTTTGTGGTTTCAAATCACGATGTATGATACGATGTGAGTGAAGGAAATCAACACCGGTTAGCAGTTCACGTGAAAGACGCTGAAATGGCAAAAGATGGAAAGATATTAACAGAGATAATGATAATTGATAATGAGAGCTACTTACTTGTATTGTTGTGGGTGGCATTCCAGATTTGGGTAGACGTTCTATTAAATCCGAGAGATCTTGTTCTAAATGTTCAAATACCAGCAGAACCATTAACTGGCCTTCACGTTCCAGGAACTGGCATACCTCGAAGAGTCTAAAAATAAGAATTTTCAGATTGATTGTTTAATTATGAATTATTATTATCAAATATTATTATCATGAATTATTATCAAATATTATTGTTATTGAAATCGTAATACTAAAACGTGAACTTAGATCCGCTTCCGAAAGTCTGGGTTCGAGCTGATACTCTTACCTTTCCAAAATGCTACAATATGTGGTAGTACCTTTTGCGGGTTCAGAGATATGGGTCTTTCCACCAGCATAACCCGATTCTAACCAGTTCATTAATATATCGGGTAAGTGGATCCGGGTCTATTCGGGGCCTTGAACCCGGACTTTCGGGTAAAAAATCTGGGGTCCCGGGTCCGTCCCCCAAGAAAAAATAGATTTCCGGGTTCAGGGTGAAAATACCTACATCTGAAAAAAATTGGAAAAAATCGAAGAGTTTTCACTTAACTAGAGATAAGCCGAGACCTAGTGTTTAAAACCAATATTTCGACTATGCACGTTTTGACCGTATCTCTAGCCATATGGCTGGGGATATAATTACTACTTTCAAGAGTTTATTTCTTTTATTTACCACTTGGCTTTTAACAAATGAAAAGATGGTGCCCAATTTACAATTGCTGCTGGCTTTCAGCGCCACTCTTAAGAAGCGTTGACTCCCAACATTAAATCCGATAAGAGAAACCGACCTTTGAGTGCAAATAAAATAAATACACACACGTTGATCAATTGAGCAAAGTTGAAGAGAGAATAACAAATAGTGAGCGAACGAGTTGAAACACACACCAAAAAGAAGAGCAATGCAAAAAAGAGGGGCAAACTTGTTTACTCTCAAGAGTAGTTGATCTCCAAGTGAGGAAAAGAGACAAATAATTACCAATTGTGGCCTTCATAATGAAATGGGGGCAATAAGAAGAACAAGACAATGTGTGTAGTTGTGTTAGTGTGCAAATTCTCCCCTTTGCTTTTTCTTCGAAAATAATATAAATAAACAATGAACGGCATTGTGTTGTGTATGTGGTTGGCTGGCTGGCCAATTGTTTTGCTTCGTTGTCGTCGTTAACGACAGAAAGAGGGGCAGCGGCAAGTGTTGGAGACGAGTAAACAATAAATTAATAACCCATACATGGACAAACAGCTGATTGTTCATATGATTTCATAACGAAGGCAAGCGGCCGGCCGGCCGGCCGGCAGGCAGGAAAAGCAGACAGATATTTTATTATTGCTGCTACGATTGTTGCTTTTGCTGCTGTCATTGAATGAGTATGGGCATGCTGTTGGTATGCTGCTATGCAAAATGTAGAGAACAGTCTGATTATTGTCTTGACTTTTGTTATTAAATAAATAAATAAACAACAATGTTGCGGATTTTTTTTTACAACCAGGTACAATGTAGGTATTATTTGCAAACAATTTCTTGCTGATAACATCAAATTGTTGAATATTTTGGATGGGGAAGGTATTATGGGGTAATAATACCCGAAGAAGGGGTAATTTGTTTTTGTTTCCGGGAAACTGATTGTATACTAAGTAAAATGGCAATTCTTTAGATGTCTGCCTGCCTGGTAATGGAACTAAATTAATTTTAATTACTAAGAATCGTCTAATTATTTTTAATTTTTGTCCTAGGTCATCTGAGTAAACAATTGTACGGCACTTTAGTTTCTTGAGTAATTTATCTTTCACCTACCATCCCATCTAACCACCACCATACACTCGCTTGCTTGTTACTTAAAAAAGTGTTGAGTATCGCACTGGTGGCTGTGGTGCCTAGAAATCAATTTTTGTTTTTCTTTGATTAGAAAACACCACCTATACTTGTGTTCCTTGTACTCGCCCATAATATACACCACACCAAATTTGGACAATTCTCCTACCGAAAATGCAAAAAACATTGTTTTACGCTAATCCACACATACACTCACTCAATGAATACATTAAGCAATACTCTTCTTCAAAAAGTAAGAAACAACACGACAATAAAAAAAAACATTCAAGAAAACCCCAAAACGAGGAGCGTCTAATTGCAAAATAACTCTCAGCAAGTGGGTTTTTGGCTTTGCAAATTCTATTGCCGCCCGGCAATACTCGGCTGTTGCAGACGACGTTCACAAAAAGTACCGAGAGGAAAGGCTTCAATTGTATTGTGCGGTTGCTTTTGCACAAACAATCTAGCAGTATGTGAAGTAAGACGAAAAAGAAATCGCTGCAGCGTGACTTATCAGCATTTACGGCGCCGTTGTGCCGTCTATATTGGATTTGTAGTCACAAGGGTTAGAAACAATAACAACAAACAGAATAAGTTTAGTAAGAACAGTTACTTGGAAATCAAGAAACTGCAATTTGGTGTTGTCTATGTGGGAGCCAGTAGCAATTTAACAGCTCCGCCGGCTAGATGTGCCATCTTAGCCATAAATAACAGCGAATATGCAGACAACAAATTAATTCTTTTTAGAATTTTAAAGGGAAAGAGACGAAGCCCAAGAATTCTCTCTCTCCCTCTCTCTCTCTCTATCTTCCTACCACTACATTCGTAACGGTTATTGTTGGATGACGCATGGAGTTACTGCGTCATCAACAGCCGTTAAAATAAAAAGTAGATACTTCAAGTAAAAATGTTCATCGTCATCCTCAAACTTACCTTCAACAACAACTACATATCCATTGTAATGCAAGTGGCCTGGCAAGTATTGTTGTACTGTCTCCCCGTTCTGAATGAAGAATCAACTGGCAAAAGAATCTCAGAAGGTGTTGCTTTGCAAACTTTCTTAGAATTTCATAATTACCCAAGTCTCTCTCTATTTCCCTAACACTTGTTCTCGTCTCTCGTCTGCCCTTCAAACTTGTTGTTTACATTCTCACGAGTTATATGTGCATGAGTGTCAGTAATGCATGCGGTTAAATAGCCCCCAACACTTACACAACAGCCGTTGCATAAATGTTTCCGTTTGGAAGTTGCGCATGCGTTTTTCATATTCATTCAAACTTGATACGTCAATTATCATTAATTTTAATTACAGACTAGATGGGTACAAGAACAAGATGTGTTCTTCTTCTGAAAAAAAGAGAAAGTGTTTTTTCCACAGAGTATAATGACTCATAGCACAATTTTCGTGGAAAGAAAAAACAATGCGCTTCTTCAAATACAAAAATATGGTAAAATAAGCAAAAAGGTTTCGGAGGGCACAAGGAAATCGGCAATTTAATTTGATAACAAAGGCAAATCAATTGGGAAAATAAAAACACTCCTTCAAATACAAAATATATACATAAGTGCAAAATTGCATCCCATTTAGGCTAATATTATTTAGTGCACAATAAAAGGCTTTGATATATTTCCCCAAAAATCTTTGTTACAGAATGCATATTACGGCTGTGGAGGACAAAAATAACAAATCGGATAAACCACATATATATGGGAGCTACAGCTATATTTGAAACGATTTCGATCAAATTTAGCTTAATTTCAGGCTTAATTTGGTCTTATGTGCAAAATTCCTTACTATTTGAATTGATATTACATTTATGGTGCACAACCGATTATCCCTAATTTCAATAGGGTACGTCCTTCGATCAAACAAATGATTTGTGCAAAATATCATCTTTATCGGGCAATAAATGCGTACTTTGTATAATATAAATTCTGTACTTCGTTTACACAAATATATAGAGAGAGGGACATGCATAAATCGACTCAGAATGTGATTCTATGCAGATCATCAAAAGGAACTATGGGTCTATCTGGTTTCCTTTTGCCTGTTACAAACAAATGCACAAAGACATAACACCCTGATCACCATCTGGTGTAGGATATAAAGGCAGCTAGGTGATGGAAACAAAGAGTCCGAATCATTTCGTATGACGTTAGTCCAATATACCGCACAACGTGTACTGTGTCCCGATTTGAATATAAAAACATATTGCAAAACACAATGTTGCCATAGGCACAAGAAAACATATCTCATACATGGGTGTTTAACAAGACAACGATCCAAAAATAACCTCCCAGTATGTAAAAAATTGATCACTGGAAAATAAACTAAACGCTCAAAGAAAGCAAAATAAGCATCCAACTCACACATACAAATACTTTTTCTAATACAAAATCTGTTGTAAAGATGATATATATCTGCAAAGGCCTTAATTTGTGAAACAAGTCAGCAATTCTTTACAAATAAATATTTCTCTCAACCAGAAACCTGCGATAAATATCGAATTTACTCTCCAAAAATGTTATGGACATTGAAAGCACGAAATTCGAAATTCAAATCTGTGAAGTATATATGAAATTCAAACGATGCAGCACCACCTTGGTCGTTGTTCCGTTCTTCGAGAGGTCTGACAAAAAATATCCATTTTTGAACATTATGGGTTTATTTAACACAGTAGACTGTAAACGTATTAAAGTCAATAAAATACACATGACAAGATGACATGTTGCTTAAACAATGCATCCCAGAGTTTGTATCAAAAATTGAAGTTAAATATTTAAAATCTGTGCAGCTGAAAGAGGCGATATGAAGAATCTATAAATAAACCTTGATTCTTAAAATCACTCATTCACATTCATTACAATCGGAAATTCTAATGAATGAATTGATGAAGGGGCTGTCAAAACATGGAAATAGCAGTCATTCAAGAAATCGAAAATTTGTCAAGTCAGCAGAAAAAAAAAACGACAACAGCAACAACATATTGTGTTACTATGAAAGATTGCAATAAATGACCGTTGAAAATCATGAATAGCTTCATAAGCAAATTATCAGTATCATTCTGCGTTCGCCTGTCATTAATGTTTAACATTATGTCTATGGTAGAATAAAGGAGGTAACCTCTTGAAATTATATGTTTACAATGTTTTTTGTCAAAATCATAAACCTGAATAGAAAATTAGTTAAATTCGAGAAGGCTAATTACAGATTTTTTTAATTCTACCACCTAAATTACGCGTTCTACAAAGATTTCACATATAATATGTAAAGCGCATTATGAAAACATATTCAGTGTGAATAATTGTATTTATAGCTACTAGACAACACTCGAAGATATTTCCTAAAATTAAATTATTTTAACTCTAGTCTGACATCATGTTATAGAGCGTTGAGGTAAGTGTTTATCGTGATAATTGATCAATCGCAATAGAATCAACGGATGTTTTCTTTAGATAAAAGTTATCGTGATTCATCGATAAACATGATTAATCAAAATAAAAATTGTTATATAAACGTACTTTCGGGGGCATATGCAAAGTAAATTTTTCCACATCCGTGTTTATATTTTTACAGCATAATTTTAGGCGCTACCTACAATTTCTAATCTAAAACCAGTAAAGAAAGATCCAAAGTCGAGTGATACCTTACACCAATTTGCATATCGAATAAACAAATAAACCTTTTTATGGGGAATTTATATTGGAGCTATATAAGCCAGAGATTTGTTGGAATTATGGCCTTTAAACGGCCAATGAAACCGTCACACGCTGCCCGAATGTTGCTCTGTGCTTGCTTGAGGTGATCGACACTTTGGTATTTTTTAGTGCCAACCTTGCTTTCCAAAACACTCCAGACACAACAGTCCAACTGAGATTTTTGTGGCCATTCTGCGCTGGAAATGATGCGAGGAATCTCATTTTGTAACCATTCGTGGGTGGCGCGTGCTTAGTGCGATGGTGCTGAGTTCTGTTGGAATGTCCAAGGTCTGCCGCCAAAATGTTTGCGTGCCCAATACACCCTCCAGAACATTTTCCCGATAATATTCGGCATTTATTCTGATGCCACGGTCGATTAATACGAGAGGAGAGCGACCATCGACAGTTATAGCTGTCCACCATTACCATGGCCGGTTTTAACAGCTGTCGGACGAGTGGCTTTGTAATGACAACAGCAGTCTGAATTTGGTTGCCGTTTTTTTTTTTCATCTCACCCTGTATATATATGATAGCTATATAGCCAAATCTGAACCAATCTCTTGCATTTTTGCCAGGAAAATCGGTTGGTTAAAAGACTTCCAAATACTATAAATGGGTAAAACCCAGTACCAATTTTTTAAAATTTCGTAAGAAAATGAGGTTAAAACCATAGTACAATAAGGAGGTGAAATAAGTTAGATAGTAGGAAAAATAAATTAAATACCTGGGGCTGGATTCCTGTTGTATGAAATTATGAAATGAAAAATATTTCCCTTATAATATTTTTCATTTGACATTTCTTTCCTCTATAAAAGTTTTCATTTCACATTTTCATAGAACAAGAATTGAGTCCCTGGACTTTGTTTCAAAAATATAATCCAAGTTGTTCAATCTTTCAATTCAAGGGCAAAACTGGTTAATATCTTAAAAAATTTCAAAGCAATATGTGGATAAGATTTAGATCAATGGACAATACTGGAGCACTGATTCTTGAAATCAGTTGCGGATTTACTAACAATATTTAAGTATTTCATATTTAGCATTTTCTGTGGCATACTTTTAGGCGCTTCCAATAATTCTTAATCTGGAAAGAAACGCTTTACTCTAAGATCTATATAAAGGGTTGTATTTTAGCTGGGTTTTGGAAATGTGTACTACAAGTGCACGAAAAGTACTAAATAGTACTATATTTGTGTACAATTTGGTATTGGGTGAACAGATAGTGCCTGAAATCTGGAATTTAGGTATTGGGTGATGGAATTGGCCTGAAATTCCGAAATTTGATCTTAAGGTTGGTTTCTAGGGTTTACATATGGAATGTATAAATACTTGAAAATTTAGTACGATATATAAAGATTTGATAAAAAAAACTGAACAAATTGTGTATTTTGAGTACTAGGGAGACCTAAAACGAACTGTTGGGACAAATCTAAAATTTTAAAGGGGACTTTTCGCTGACGATGTATTTGGCACATGCTAGTACTATATAAATACTTATGTGCTGCAACCAAAGACAATTTATGAGAATCGCCTGAAACTATGCTGTAAAAAGCCACTATATAGGAATCTAATATGATGTGTAGACTAGCATTTAGTAACCTCAAATAAATCTTAGTCGAGGATGCCAAACTCAAAATTAAATATTTCTCATATCCTAGTCCTCATATAATGATACCGCTCGATTTTATGTATTGTTTTAGTACATCAAACTATGCACAGAAAATATTGGAACTGCCTACATTTAGGCAAATAACTATGCTCTCTGGTGTTCGGTATTTTCAATATTTGGAATCAATTTCCAACCAAAGAAGATGTAATTTGAGATTTTCTGTTGTCAGTGGTTAGTTTAACTCCTCGACGTCTACGTAGGTCAATTTTTGTTGAAATTCCCACCGGATTTTTACTATTTTGAAAGTTTTGGATCTAATTTACTACCAAATCAGTTATTATGTGATATGTTTGGTTCTTTGGGGTTACATAAATTCTTTTAAAAAAGTATTATAAATTAAATGATAACCGGCCATAAGTCAAGTTTTTACATGGCAGAGGGTATAAAAACAAGGGCCCGCTCCGAACGTTACTTATTTTTTAATTGTTTGCTCTCAAATTGCCCCCATATTTACTAGGATATAAGACGACTGATGTTATTCGACGCGATTCTTTTGATTCAGAGGGATTGAAAGGGGAATCCAAAGGCAAAGTGAGCCACAAGTTTTTAAAGCTGATCTCTGATCATACTGATAAAGTCACAGTAAAAGTTTCCATTACCAAATAATGAGTTTTCGTAACAAATTGTTGACAACCGTAACTACTTACAAATCAACCTATCAAACCCATTATTTTTACAAGGGTATGTCCACACAGTTATCATTATAAAATAATGGGTTTATTAGGAAAGTTTAGGAACCAGAACCTGCTTCCAAAACATTGTCCTAACTCATTATATAAGCATAGACATATCAGAAGAGGTGAAGACTTACCGGACTGCCTCCAATAACCAGGAAAAAGGTTCTATTTTTAGAAAACTTGACTTACATTCAATTTTTATACCCTCCTCCATGCTATGGAGGGTATATTAATTTTGTCATTCCGTTTGCAATTCCTCGTAATACTCATGTCAGACCCAACAAAGTATATATATTCTTGATCAGCGTAAAATTCTAAGTCGATTTAGCGATGTCCGTCTGTCTGTCTGTTGTAATCACGCTATCTTTCGAACGAATTAAGATAGAAGGCTAAAATTTTGCACACATGTTTATTTTGCCAGTAGACAGGTTAAGTTCGTAAACGGTCCATATAGGTCCACGTTTTTATATTGCCCACATATAACGGTACCTCCCGATATTCGGTATTTTGATGATTTTAGCGACATTATTCACCGGAATTGTTTCATATTTTATATTTGAAGTTCGAAATGGATACTACAGCCTATGTCAGAAACATTTCGGTGCAGGTCCACGTCTTCGTATAGCCCCCATACAACGGTACCTCTCAATATTCAGTATTTTTTAGCGTCACTATTTACCGGAGCAGTTTCAAATTACGTATTTAGAGTTCGTAATGGGAGCTACAGTCTGTGACAGAAAATTATCTATGTAGGTCCAGGTCTTCGTATAGGCCCTTATATATTTGTTCCTCCCTACATTCGGTATTTTGACGATTTTAGGTACAATACTCACCGAAATTGTTTGAGATGTCGTATTTGAAGATCGTAATAGATGCTACAGCCTGTGACAGAAATTTGTCTATACAGGTCTTCGTATAGCTCCGATATAACGGCACCTCCACATATACGGTATTTTGCTGATTTTAGCTACATTATTCACCGTTTATTCGGTATTTTAAGGATTTTAACAGATTTTATTTTTTTAAAAATTTCCAAATTCGTTCCAAATGCTGGAAGGTATTAAAAGTTCGGCCCGGTCGAACTTACTGCTTTTTAACTTGTTTATTTTTTTTCGCTTAATAAAATGGTGGAGCTGCCGATTTTAGTAACAATGGCTGAGTGCATGATCTTTACAGCTACCAATCAGAAGATTGCCATCGCAATAAAAGTTCGATGGTTAGTTTCAACTTATGTAATGGCTTTTGGTGGCAGTTTGGTAAGTACTTAATTCCTACGTTAAATGTCTATGTTAAGAAGGGGCTGGGATATAATTATTTGGTAACACTTGGTAATGAGGAATGTAAGGTATTTTGTTTTATAATTTTTTTTAGAAATAAATTATCATTTTATTCTGCTGATACAGCTCCCAATGTTTCTTGGGTACATCAAAACACCGAGCTGTATCTTTTTAAAGTTTATCAATTAGAGTCAGCTCAAGGTGTACACTGAAATAATTTATATTTATTTTTTGTGATTCATGAAACTCGTGTTATATTCATCACCACTTATCACTTAAAATACCAGATTATCATTGCTAGAAAGTTCAGTCCACCATCGTATGAATGTCAATATTTAAATCCAAATCTTAAGTTCACATTTTCATTGTTACGTGGATTTCCAGAACACACAAGGTAGGTAGGGTGATTTGGAATAAATCTCTGATTACTTACTTGACAATATTCGGATGATCCGAGGCATTCAATTGTTTTAGCAGAGCAATTTCACGCAACGTTGACATTGGCACTCCATTATCTGTCAGTGTTATTCTGACTTTTTTGATAGCCACAATGCGGCCAGTGAGATTATCTCGCGCTCTATAAACGGTGCCATAGGCGCCTGGTTGTGGGGGTACATTTTGATTGGTTGATCGATTTGTTTGGTGCCCGAGTGTGTGTGTGTGTGTCGATAATTAACAGGTGGTATTGAGTCAAGGCGGCAGGTAAGTTGAAATTGACATTGTTATGGTTATGGAATCCCATCATCATCAGCACCATCAGCCGCAATTTATAAACAAATAGTCGTAATGTAAACAATCCAAAGCGAAGAGTGTGGGGGAACCGGATGATAGCCGCCACATAGTATTGAGGTACGCCAATAATTAATAGCGCAAGCCGACCGACGATCAATGAATTAACATGGCCATTGACCGATCCAATGAGGAAGATCCAAAACAAAAATACATGAAAGTAAATAAAATTAAATACAACAAAAATTAACAACTTGCAAAACATAAATATAAAAAGAAAACCAAAATACAATGGCAATAGCAACAAAAAAAGAGGTCAATGTCACAAACAATTATTGCAAACAAACATAATATTTTAAAAGTAAAATAAAAAAGCTGACAATATAACGTCAGCTGAGCAGAGGCAGCAATAGTTTCCCGATAACGACAACATCGACTGCAGGAGATGGAAAGAGAGAGCGGAGAGCGAGAGAGAGAGTGATTATGTTGACGTTGCAGTATTTTCTTTTCTGTAAAGACAAAACTAAATAGAACGGGGTAGTAAAATAAAATAAAAACAAATACTGCCGATAAAAAAAGTGGAAAAAGAAACAACATTTCCATACGAATTAGGAGCCGCCAGATCTTTGACTACTTATTTCGGGTGACATGCCCTTGTGGGAGTATTGTTAGCAACTCTGATTGCTGACGATTGTAAAATATAGGTATGTTGAGCTTGAGGCTCTGTCAGTCTTTAATGTCATTCTCACTCCATCTGGATCTTGAAGGCCCTTCTTGTCATTCCTGGGTGGAGGTTTTCTTGAATAACTTCAATAAACCCATAGCCAAAACAAAAAAAAGCATATTACTTATTTTTTGAGAGGATCTAATCTACACAGAAAGTAAGAAAAACGTAAAATATCAAATTACAAGGTGATATAAAAAAACTGAAACAAAGTCAAACGCTACATTTTTTATTTTTTATTGAATGAAAGCAAAAAATGTCGGAAACATCAGATTTTAGAATAAATTTAGATTTGTTAGAATTGGTCACCTTTGGCACGAATTATGGCTTTCATACGGCCAATGAAACCGTCAAACCATGCCCAAATGTGGCTCAGTGGTATTTTGGCGTAATTCCGGGCGAGGTGATCGACACTTTGGTATTTTTTAGTGTCAACCTTGCTTTCCCAAAAGACTCCAGACACAGTAGCCCAACGGATTGGTATCCGGAGATTTTGATGGCCATTGTGTGCTGGAAATTAAGCTAGGAACCTCATTTTGTAACCATTCTTTTGTGGCGCATGCTGAGTGCGATGGTGCTGAGTCCTGTTGGAAAGTCCATGGTCTGCGGCAAAAATGTTTGCGTGAATGTTGCGGTGTAAGTTCTTGCAATTTTTGGAATTTTAATGGCTTTACCCTGACCTCATTTTTCAATATTTGCTGAATGGAATATTGCGATATGTGCCATTTTACGGCCACTGTAACACGGGTTCCAGCCAAATATATCGGCAAATATTGAAAAATGAGCTTGGGGTAAAACCCATTGAAATTCCAAAAGGTGCAAGAACTTACACCACAACAGAAAAAATACACTCAAAATAGCTAAAGAGTGGCTTCGCTTGTCCGAAAGTGGTGGACTGCCGAATATGTTTTTTTTTTCGATGAGAAAACATTCGTTGTCCAAAGGTCTGCTGAAAATGTGCACCTTTGGTTGGCCACCAGAACTCAAGCGCCGGCCATGGTGATGGTGTGGGTCGCCATAACAACCGATGGTCGCTCTCCGCTCGTATTAATCGATCGTGGCATCAGAATAAATGCCGAATATTATCGCGAAAATATTCTGGAGGGTGTATTAAAGCCTTGGGCACGCAAACATATTGGCCGAAGACCTTGGACATTACAACAGGACTCAGCAGCACAAAATGAGGTTCCTCGCTTCATTCCCAGCACACAATGGCGACCAAAATCTGCGGATACCAATCTGTTGGGCTACTGTGTCTGGAGTATTTTGGAAAACAAGGTTGGCACTAAAAAATGCTAAAGTGTCGATCTCCTCAAGCAAGCGTTTCGCAGGGAATGGACCAAAATACCGCAGAGCAACATTCGGGCAGTGTGTGACGGTTTAATTGCTGTTTGAAGGCCATAATTCGTGCCATAGGTGACCAATTCGAACAAATCTAAACTTATTCTAAAATTTGATGCTATTTCTGACATTTTTTGCTTTCATTCAATAAAATTTAAATTAAATATATCAAAAGTTATGGCGTTTGACTTTGTTGCAGTTTTTTATCTTACCCTGTATATCAATGTCGGTGATTTTCGTGGCTTGTATAATGTAATATTGTGCTCCTGTCTCAGTAGTTTTCTCCTAGTTCACCATATTTTGCGGAAATTATTAAAGTTTAAGTGGCTTACTATGTAAGAGTTCACCCGGGTCGCTATAGTTCAGATGGCTCACTTGTTACACTTTTTTACCTCGTTCAATCTTCATCAGTTACCTGATCTCAATAAATAATCTAAATTGCTTTTAACTGGCTCATATTGTCAGGAGAACTTACATCGCCATGTTTACAAAAAAAAAGTGGAAGAAGTAGCCAAAATCTATGTGTTGCCTACTGGCTCCACTTTTGTTTCTTCTACACAATCTGTTTTACCATATTCCCAGATCACCATATTTCACCTAGGCGTTTAAGCTTTAAACATTTGAGTGTAACTTATTTACATCAGTTCAACTGGTTCTCAATATTTCACTTGGTTCACAATAGTTCGAATTGCCGACAGTAGCTCCTATGATCTATTTTTCAAGTTGTATCAAAAAATATCTGTTTTTTGAGGATTGTTCCACAAAACTATGCCAGCTAGCCCACACATCGTCAAGTACATTTCAACTATCCAAGATAAATTTACAAAAAAGAAAAAATAATTTTTTAAAAAATATTCTAATGTATGCCCAAAAATTGAAACACTTGATGATCACAGGGTTGGCTACGCATCTAAATATGGAGATTCGTTTTTCGATAAACATTTACATTTCAATTCATGAATGAATGAGCGGTGAGCGAGAGTGGTCCAGCAGCAGTAAAGACAAAATGTCATAACGGCAACAATCGTCACAGAGTGGGGATCAGATCATTGAAATGCTGTAGAATAATAAATAAGTGAGATGCGCTCTGACGACTATGCTCGTTTTGCTAATTAATATTCAAGAAAACAAAAAATACAAACAGAACAACAACAAATCAACACCGGAAAAACGACAGATCCAGACTAACTGAGTCACTACATAACAGGGCGAGAGACAGCGATTTGCTGTGCGTCTATTGGGATAGGTCAAGGGGATGTCAAAAATAACAAAAAAACACATAATCAGTATTTAATGTTAATGTCTAAAGTGCGGCAGTTATAGCACAAGTTTAGTAAGGCTGTTGCGCTGGTTCAGAAGATCGAAAAAGTCAACAATTTTTATAACTGAATACAGAGTATTTTCAATTTCAATTATATAATTATTGAGAGGTTCGCATGTGTATAGTCTCATGAGTGGACTTACTGGAGTGTCTGTAGGAAATATGCAAATTGAAATACAATTAGATAACATTCGAATAATTGTGTTTATACATTTAATACTGGATGGTTTGAATCTTTTTGTATATAGCCTATAAAGACTGAAAATTGGCTTGTTAGAATCTTGAATAGAACAAGCATTCATATTCATGGTTCTCTATAGTTCACCTGGCTGACGATAGTTCTCCTGGCTCTTTATATGTCACCAGGATCACTATAGTTCACTTGGCTCTCTATAGTTCACATGACTCACTATAGCTCAACTGGCTCACTATAGTGCACCTGGTTCACTATGGTTCACCTGGCTCAATATAGTTTCCCTGGCTCACTATAGTTCCATGGCACACTATTAAATACCTGGCTCTCCACAGTTCACATGGCTCACTATAGTTCACATGGCTCACTATAGTTCACAAGGCTCACTATAGTTCATCTGACTCAATATAGTTCACCTGACTCACTATGGTCCACCTGGCTCACTATTGTTCACCTGACTCACTATTGTTCACCTGACTCACCATGGTTCCTCTGGCACACTATAGTCCACCTGGCTCAATATAGCTCCCCTGGCTCACTATAGTTCACATGACACACTAAAGCTCAGCTGGCTCACCATAGTTCACTTGGCTCACAATAGTTCACCAAGCACACTATAGTTGACCTGGCTCACAATAGTTAACCTGGCTCACTATAGTTCACCTCGTGCACTATATGTAACCTTAATCACTACGATTAGTACAGCTATAGATCACAAGACACACCAAAGTTCACAATAGTGAGTCAGTATGGTTCACCTGGCTCACCTTAGTTTACCCGGCTCGGTATAGTTCTCCTTGATCTCTTTAGTTTACTACATTAGTTCACCTCACTTTATATTGTCCTCCTGGCTCACTTTAGATCACCTGATCCACTTTAGTTCAACTGGCTCACTCACTGTTCACTAAATTAACCCTAGCCTTCCATAGTACATTTGGATCGCAATGATTCAATATAGGGTTAAGGTTTTATATTTTCGGCAGGTGTTTTATATTTGCTTAACTTTTTTTTTAATTTTTATTTCTATATTTTGTATCTTTTAAATCTGTGTGTCTGGTTTTTACTTTCATTCAATTGACGGCACATCCACTTTTTTCAACGTTGTTATGGCTTAGCCAAATCGACGTGGGAATTTTTAACGAAAAAAAAAATAGCAAGAAAGTAAAAATGATGTCAGCTTTTAAGTATTTATATGAATTTTGATTGTGAAGTTAACGAGCAAGAAGACGGTTGAGAAGAATCAAAAGACATTACGGGCTTTCTATACAAAACCCTAACCTGAGAAACTCCAAAAGGTCTTCCATTTTTTTCGTCTTCACACCATCCTTCGAAACCCTTAAAGATCCAAAGGGCTTAGAGACCTTCACTACAAAGCCCTGAATCTTCTTGAAGAAGCTCATAAAGATCTTCTCTAGGAAGCCCCTCAAGGACTTCTCTAGGAAGCCCTTAACTAATTTTTCTACGAAGCGCCTATTGTCTTCTATAAGATGCCCTTAAACCCGTTCTTTATTAATACCTATAAGGCCATTTATACGAAAAATGTGAAGGAATTCTCCACAAAGAACTTGTAGACGAAGAAGGTCTTCTATAGCAAGACCTGAAAAGCCTTCTAAAGGAACACTTAAAGGTATTTGTATAGAAGGCCCTATAGTCTTCTATACAAAGTCATTACAGGCCTTCTAGGAACACCTTAAAGACCTGTTATAGAAATACATTAAAAATCTTCTTAACGAAGACCACAAAGACCTTCTATAGGAACCCTTTCCTATAGGAAGAGTATAAATGCATTCTATGTGAAGACTTTAAGGCCATAAATACGAAGCCTTTAAATAAGAAGGTCTTTTCGATATCCTTAAAGCCCTTCTATGGGAAGAACTTAAAGACCTTCCATGGAAAGACCTTAAGGCCTTCTATGAGAAGTTAATTAAGGCTATATACAAGGTGGTGCAAAACTAACCCTCATGTCAGAAAATGTTATATATTTTACGATTGGCCCCTAATGTCTTAATTACAGCCAAAAACCTTAAAGGCTTTTTAAGAATACCTGAAAAGTCCTTGAGGTCTTCCTATAGAGGAGCTTTCCAATCTTCTCTGCGAAAGCAATTCTAAAGGAAGATCCTCAATGTCCTCTATGGAAATACCTTAAACACCTTTTTAGGAAAAAAAAACTTTTTTTATTTGAACACGATCTTCTACAAAGCAGAAAAACATCCAAACTTAGGAAAACATACAATATATGTACATGTGTATTTCTGACATTGCCTCTGTGGTCAGACTCAAAAAGAAATTGTGACACTTTAAAATTTGGTCCAGCATTACTCACCTGTTCCGATGACATTGAGCTCTTCGTAATTGAATGGGTCACCATCGTTAAATGTCTGCTGCTGTGTTGCTGATTGATGTTGCGGCTGATGGGCCTTTATGTGATGGTGTTTGGAGGTCATCTTTTTTATTTCAATTTCCGTTCGGCACCGATGAATGGCGGATTATAAAGTGCTTCGTTTTGTGGAGGATTTGTCAATGGAATTTTATTGGGGTGTGATGAATTGTTTTTCTTCTTCTTCTCTTCACCTGAGATTTTGTGTCAGCTACTACTCATTGACGATTTCACTCTCTGTGCATTTCTTTTCAAACGACACGACATGTATGAGGAGTAAATATCACTTGGACGACATGGGAATTGAAACACGCAGTTTACAACAACGAGAGAATTTTTAGAGAATGTTATCTTTTTTGGTTTTATTTTTTATTATTTTTTTATTTCACAATATTTTTCCTGGTCGTTGAGTAATTTGTAGTTCTTAAGTGCTGTTTTTCTATAACAAAAACATAAATCGTACAATTATTATTGTTATTTGTTAATCACTTTCTGGCGACGTCAATGTGTGTATGAGGAATACCGAATGGTAGGAGGAAACAAAACAACCAAAATCATAAAACTAAATCATAATAAAAACAAAAACAAATTTCCAACATTTTGCTTTCTGCCTTAGTTTTGTTTGGTTTTTCTTGCTTTGCTTCCCATTTCCCATTTGCTCTACTAATGCTTTCATGCTTTAAGGCTGCCAATAATAGTTTAACTAGATAAACGTTATGAAGAAAAAAGTGTTAGAGAACTTGCAAAAGAGGTGGCTAAAACTGGTGGTTTAAAGAAGAGGTAAAAAAAGCCAAGCTAAACGATGGGAAAGGCTAAATTTTTGTTTCCTTCAAAAAAAAAAAAAAAAAAAAAAAAAAAAAAAAAAAAAAAAACAAACATTAAGTTCGGCCGGGCCGAACTCTTAACTTTGAATAAAGAAGACATTTTTATATAAAAGTATCTGAATTCACACCTGATCCACTTTAAACTAAAAATACCTGTAAGACCGTTTTGATAAGGCTGTTAGACTTAAAAAAAAAAACATAAAGTGGGTGAGTCCGTTGCATGGGAGCCAAAGCGGGAACCTCCTCCACATCTTAAAGCTAAACTTTCAAAGTTTTGCCGTAGGAGCTGGAACCCATTAGGAATCACAAATACCAATTTTTGGGCAAATCCGTGAAAAATTTTTATCAAAAATCATCAAAACTCCGACTATCGGGAGGTACCGTTATATATGGGCTATACCAAACCGTGGATTTATACATTACATGTTTCGCCACCGGAGCTAGAACCCATTTCGAACTACAAATACAAATTTTTAGAAAAATCTGGAAAAAAGCGACAAAAATCGTCAAAATATTGGAAGGTACCGTTATATGGGGGCTAACAAAAAAGTGGACCCACATATACAATGTTTCGCCACCAAAGCTAGAACTAATTATGGCCTAGAAATACCAATTTTTAAACAATTCCATGAAAAACTCATCAAAATGCAGAATATCAGGAGGTACCGTTATATGGTGGTTATATAAAAATTTGGACCTATACATACAATGTTTCGCTACCGGAGCTAGAACCCATTATGACCAAATACAAATACCAATTTTTAGACAAATCAGTGGAAATATGTGGCAAAAATCGTCAAAATACCGAATATCGGGAGGTACCGTTATATAGGGGCTATATAAAGACGTGAACCTGCACAGACAATCTCCTGCCATAGGGTGTGGTATCCATTACGAAATTCAAATACCAAATTTGAAACAATTCCGGTGAATAATGTCGCTAAAATCAGCAAAGTACCGAATATCGGGAGGTACCGTTATATGGGGGTTATATGAAGACGTGTACCTGCACAGACAATTTTCGGTCTTAGGCTGTAGTATCTACTACGAACTCCAAATACCAAATTTGAAACAATCCCGGCGAATAATGTGGCTAAAATCATCAAAATACAGAATATCGGGAGGTACCGTTATATGGGGACCTACATTGCCCAACACTACATGGCCTGCAGACACAATATACATTTGAGTAAAATTTTATCAATCTACTTCATTTTCTTCGGAAGCTAGAATAATTTCCACAGACGGACGGACGTCGCTAAATCGACATTGCATTTTATGCTGGTCAAGAATATATATACTTTGTGGGGTCTAAAATGTTTATTTCGAGGTGTTATAAACGGAATGATAAACTTAATATACCCTACAAAAAGACCACTCATTCGAGGGTTTACATTTTCATCCTGTACATATTGAAACTATATATAGCCGAATATTTCAAAATATTTGGAAGAGGGGTGTTGGGACTTAATAATTATTTTTTGGTGTGGCGAAGTGTTATCAATTTCTTTAATTATATGTTAAATAAGTTCCGTGCATACTATCGTCCAGCAGCTTCTCGCAAATATTCTGCATTCCCATATTTTGGTTATTTAAAATACTAAAACTATTTATGAAAAACGGTATCTACGTTCAGGTTTTGGAATAGATATATGTACGTGACCTGACCTTGGATTAATCAATTTTGACAATAAAAATTCGACTTTTTAAAATCGCCAATGCCAGCCAAAAAGTATGCAACGCATTTTTAAGAAATTCGAAATCGACCTTACGGTACGTTTTCAGAGTACTAAAAAGTTCCAATGTAAACATATATTAGTTGAATTGTGGGCTAAAAAAAAAAAACTTTTAGCGGATTGGAGAAAATTTAAAATTTTTGAAGTAAATTCAAAAGTTCAAGAATCTACTTTTTCTCTTCACAACAATATCGTTAGTATGGAACATAGCACAATCCCTATACCACCACAGTCATCTCATGAAAAGGAATCTCGTTTGACTGCTTCAAAACAATTGAGATCTTTTAAGGCGTTAAGTCCAATTCCCTGGTAATTATAGTTATAATCTGTAAATACTATGTTTTGTATAATTCCATTGAAAAATTTAGCTAAAATGATCAAAATACCGAATATGGGGTGATATCGTAACATCGAAGCGTTGATCTGTACAGTATATGTTCAGTCATAGAAAGTTTGAAACAATTCCGTCGAAAAATATGGCATAAATTTTCCAAATATAAAGATAATATTCTATCAGAGAAGATAGTAGCTAGTGTCAACACGAAATACCCACTTTACAACAATTCCTGTGAAAAATGTTGCCAAAATTGTGAAAAATCCGATTATCGAAAGATATAATTATAACTGTTTAAGCAATTTTCGGTCATAGAAGGTATCAGTAGTGGGTTTGTCTAATAAAGGGCGCAAATGCGATACATTTCTCTATTTATGCCATGGAGAGAAAACGACCGTCATGTTATGCTCTGTTTTATCAAACGCATAACAGTACGTGACATCCAACCAAATGCTCCATGTCTCGTCACGTCGGTCAGACTCAAACCCATCGTTATAACATGCATTGACCAATAAATGAGGATGTTGACTAGTGTGTAATACAAATGTGATCTTTCCAAAAATAGCAACAAAATTATGCAGTTATCAATAGAATGAGGAAGGAAGCCAACGCTACCTGCTTTTACGATTGCGCTATGAATTCTTAGTAAAAATAATAATGTTCTGGCACATTTCCTTAATAAAAGCCAGTAAGAAGAAGTCATTTCGGGTGGGGGAGGAGGGGTGGGCGATATGATATGATACCCTACACCACTATGCGTATTTAGTAGAGCTCCTGTAACAAAAGAATTTATTTGATGAAGATCATAATTTAGGAATTTTTGATAGATATTGGCCATTTGGTGCACAATTAACCCAAAATCGGTTGAAGATATATATGGGAGCTATATCCAAATCTGAACTAATATTGATAAAATTTGGCAGAGGATTTCCGAGCTCTATAAGATATCTGGTACAAAATATCATTGTAGTCGAATGCATATTACGAATGTGAGGGACTGAAACACAAATTGGATGAAACCTATATATGGGAGCTATAGCTATATCTGAACAGAATTTCATAAGATTTAATGTACTTGTTCGGTCGGATGTGCCAAAATTCAGTCATTTAGAGTGATATTGGTCATTTGTTGCACAACTAACCCAAGATCAGTTGAAGATATTTATGGGAGTTATATCCTAATCTGAACCCATCTTGGCAAAATTTGATACAGTTACTTCAGAGCTGTATCTGATATTTGGTACCAAAGATCATTTTTGTGGAATGCATATCTCTCGTGTGAAGGATAAAACATATATATGGGATCTATAGCTATATCTGAACCGATTTACACCAAATTTGAAGTATTGAGTTTATAGGACAAATTCAGTCGTAACTACCAAAACGGAGACCATTTGGGCTCATATTAGCCATTTGGTGCACAATAAATCTAATATCGGATAAATATATATATATATATAAGAGCTATATCCTAATCTGAACCGATCACGATGAAATTTGATAGAGGTATTATCGAGCAGTATCTGATGTCCGGTACCAAATATCATTCTAATGGAGTGCATATTACGAATGTGAGGGACTTAAAACAACAAATCGGATGAAATATATATATGGGAGCTGCAGCTATATCAGAACCGATTTTCACCAAATTTGATTTATTTGCTCCTAGACTAAATTCTGAACTGATATTGGCCATTTGGTGCACAATTCACCAGAAATCGATTGAAGATATATATGGGAGCTATATCTAAATTTGAACCGATTCTCATCAATTTCAATAGGGTCCTTGGGCTAAATTTCATCTCAATCTGATAATAAATGCGACCTGTATTTTGTTCACAAAAATATATGGACATACGGACGGGCATGAGACTTCCTCTTTGATCTAACAAGACCGTTTTCTTTGTGGCAATAACAGAATGTCACATATTAATTTATGCACTGCAGAAATTCATATTTTTCATTTGTTTTTAAGATTTTACAGTTTATGGCATAAAATACTCTACTTTATTCTTATTCTGGACATTGTTAGCCAAGATATAATGAGGTTAAATTTCAAATGTATATATTAATTAGGCACAAAATTACAACAGAAATAAAAACTTCTACAATTTTCAGGTGTCACCGGATAAGCATCGATTAAGCATAACCCAAAAAAATGTTGTTTCACCCAGTTTAAAATACAAGCCCCAACAATCCTTTCGAAATGCTTGTGTGACAAAATTCCCCTGGGATTTCTCGTCAATGACAAGGTGTCAAAAGGTATGGCAACACCATTGCAATTTCGGGTTGCCGGGTATATTGTCATTCCATTTCATTTCTAAGAACATAGAAAATGGGTCAACATGGGACCATATTTTAGCGGAATGTTAAGATGTTAATAGTGTCTAAGATTTGACTTTTAGAGCATATTTCCGGTTTTCATGTACATATACATACTTCAGTCTCCTGCGCCAGTAAGCAAACATTCAAGTTCATTAATATGTAAGAGAGAGGGAGAGCGAGAGAGAACACAACCAACAAACAAACAAAGGTTAATGATCTCTTTATGAATGATTATGATGTTGATGATCTTTATCATTATTTGTTTAGTCATCTTTAAAAATATTTTATTACCTAAAATAATTTAGTTTACTTTTGGTTCTTCTTATTCCGTGTGAAATTGTTATAAAATGTTGGTTTATTTTGTTGTTGTTATCAAATTAAATAGTAAGAAAATGATAAATTCGACTATGGCCACTAACCACACGATAGGGGGTTGAATCAGTAGTGTGGGCAGGAGGAAATCATGCATCAAATTTAAAGTTTTGTTTTTGCATAAAACGTTGGCTGCAACGGCAGCAGCGACATGAATGCTTATGGTCTGCTGCTATGTTTATTTATAAACGTCACGGTGCGCCGCCTTTGTGTGTCTATTTGCTGCATGCAGCATTTGACATTTGCTGTGCAAAACAAAACACACACACAACACTGTTGCTGTTCTTCGTGAACATGGGTTTTTGCACAGCCACAAACACATGTTGACAAACCAACCAAACTAGTAAGGGGGGACCCAAAGAGCATTAAATGTGTTAAAAGAGCTGCTAAAACAACTGAGAAGGAGAAGAGAATATGAGAGTAGGAGAAACAACGTAAAACTGATAACCGGCTGTTCTCTGTGTGGTGTAAGAATGAAACACGTTTTACCGTTTTTTTTTTGTTATTTTTTGGTTGCTTCGTTCTTGCAAATGCTAGAGTTTTTGTTTATTTGCTGGATGACGGTCGTTGGGTTGATTGTTTGTCATGACAATCAGAAGCACATTGATGGGGAATAAAGCATTGGAACTGCTGACATGCCCTGGCACTATTGGGACAGAAAGCAACATGCGGCAGCGGTGTAGACATATAAATAACTAGATGATACTGTTTATTTTGAATTTTGATTCCAGAATGAAGCAAGATCAGGAACAACCTGTTGCTGTCAAGGTGTTGTGCAGGGTTGTTTTCCTGAGGCTCATGCCAGGTCAATTGATTTGGATTTTTATGTAAAGTTAAACAAATATGCTTGTTTAGTGTTCTACCACTTCACCAACTCACACACACATTAAAGATTAAAAAAATGTAGACGACGCCAACTGAAGATACAACAATAATAAAAAAATATACCTATTCCACTAAATAAATGTATTCAATATGAGCTAAAATAATAACAAAATTCCAATAACAATAGCACTTTTTAGTATATTTTATTTTTTTCTGCTTCTTGCTGTTGTTCGCTGGCCTGTTCTCAACGATTATGTGTTCCACATTATTTTTTATTTTGTATCATTTTGAGGCCACCGCCGACCACACCACGCACCAAAATTCACAATTTTTGTCAATTTCTTTTTTCGTTTGCTTGCTATCATTAGCACACACACACGCACACGCACGCACTCACACTCTAGCCTTATTGCTATTATTTTCTTCTTTATTTATTGAATTATATTTCTTCTATCAAAAAATATGAAAAGAAATTTGTGTTCAGAAAATAACTAAACAGTCAGTAAATGACGATTGATAGAGCTCGAGGCCCGAATAAGACACTGAAAGGAAATGCCAGATGCCAGAAATAACTCAACTGTCACAAAAACAAACAGCAACAGCAACAAACAAACTACCTTAAAACCAGCAAGCTCACTCACACATTATTGTGACGGCGGCGACGGCCGTCTGACTCTCTCGCAGTTGGTGTGTGTTTCACTCAGACAAAACAAACAAAAACACAACAGCTCACTTTGCAAAGACAGGCAGACCTGTGTCTGCACAGCACACACAAAAACAATACAACACATAGGGACATAAACACACACACACACATGCATGACAAGATCCTCCTTCAAACAAAAACAAAAGAAAAAACAATCAAATGAACATCAGACAAAACCAAACTATGTAACATTAGTATGGCTGGGTATTAACAATTCGCTTGTGGTTTGACCTGGAAGGGGAACTAGCCACCTTACAGATGGAAGAGAAAAATCCCAACTCTCATCCTCACCACACATAGATGAGTTTGTTATAACCCAACAAATTGAGGGGCACCTCATGTTATAAACACACCACACCGCTGGTTTGTGTGTGGAAATAAATTACCAAGGAAAAAGAGGAGAATATAAAAGAGGAAAATATTAAACCCAAACTCACCAAATCAGCCAACAACACCACCCCAGCCACCAAAGGTGCGGATCTATGCTAAAACATGGGGATTTATGTATAAAATACCCAAAATTACCCAAGAAATGGGGCGAAAAATAATTCCCCAAGTTTTTGCATGGACAAAAAAATACCCAAAGGTGTATTTTCCTTTTTACTTTCCAAGGTTTATAACCCAACTTAAATCATTGAAAAGAACCTACACCATGTTTAGGAATTAACCAAAAATCCCAATCATTCACCCATTCCCTTCATCGAACCAATGGAAGTTTTTGTTTTAATCATTGTGGGATTTTTTTTTTCCACCATTGTGGCTTTGCTAAGCTATCAGAGGAATTTCTTTCACAGCAAAATAATAGGTTATAAACTTAACTAAAACTGTTAGGAAATAACGTTCCCACTGATAAGGAAATTGCGAAATAATATTTTCCCATTATTTATTGTGTCCATCAACGACCATCCGCAGTGCAGTGTTGCATTTCCCACTATTGATAAAGTAAATATCTATCATATGGTCCCCACTGACAAGGAAATTTGAATTATTATTTTTTGCTTCCATCAACGAATATCCGCAGTGCAGGGTTGCATTTCCCCCATTGATAACGTAAATATCCATCATATGGTCGATTGTTTGACTAATAATCGAAGAAAGACCAGAGAATGAGGGAACCTCAGAAAACAAATCCGTTGGTTTCAAACGAAATAATGTCCCCACTGACATGGAAGTTGGAAAATAATATTCTCCCATTATTTATTGCGTCCATCAAGGAGTATCCGGTGTGCAGGGTTGCATTTACCTCATTTGATAACGTAAATATCCATCATATGGTCGATTGTTTCACAAGCAATCGAAGAAAGACCAGAGAATGAGGGAACCTCAGACAACAAATCCGTTAGTTTCAAATAAGATTTGTGGGTAAAAAGTAATAAATAAAATGTGTGCAATCCCAATGACAACGATTTTTGAACATTGTTACTGGATGTCGTAAAATTTCTAAAACAGAGAGAGTTTTTGACAATTTTCTACACCCTCCACCATAGCATGGAGGGTATATTAAATTTGTCATTCCGTTTGTAACACCACGAAATTTTATTGAATGAAAGCAAAAATTGTCGGAAATAGCATCAAATTTTATAATACGTTTAGATTTGTTGGAATTTATCACCTTTGCCACGAATTATGGCCAATGAAACCGTCACGCGCTGCCTGAATGTTGCTCTGCGGTTGCTTGCTTGAGGTGATCGACACTTTGTTATTTTTTGTGCCAACCTTGCTTTCCAAAATACTCCAGACATAACGAATTGGTATCCGGGGATTTTGGTGGCCATTGTGCGCTGGAAATGAAGCGAGGAACCTCATTTTGTAACCATTGTTTGTTTACAAACTGCTGAAATGTTTTCTCATCGGAGAACACCAAATTCGGCAGTTCACCACTTTTGGCCAAGCGAAGCTACTCTTTAGCTCTTTTGGGTCTATTTTATTTTTGGTGCGGTGTAACGCCTTCGTATAGCCCCCATATAATGGCACCTCCTGATATTCGGTTTCTGATGATACCGCCATTATTCACCGGCATTGTTTCAAATCTGGTTTTTGAAGTTCGTAATAGATATTAAAGCTTATGACACAAAATTGTCTTTGCAGGTCCAGGTCTTCGTATAACCTCCATACAATGGTACCTCCCAACATTCGGTATTTTGATGTTATATAGGCCCCATATATCAGTACCTCCCTATATTTGGTATTTTGACCATTTTGTGTTTGAAGTTCCTAATTGGTACCTCAGACTGTGACAGAAAATTGTATGTGCAGGTTCACGTCTTCCTATAGCCACCATATAACTGTACCTCCCGATATTTGGTACTTTGTTGATTTTAGCGACATTATTCATCAGAATTTTGGTACTTGATGTTCGTAGTGGATACTTCAGCCTATGACAGAAAATTGTCTGTGCAGGTCCACGTCTTCGTATAGCCCCCATATAACGATACCTCTCGATATTCGGTATTTTGATGATTTTAGCGACATTATTCACCGCAATTGTTTTAAATTTGGTATTTGAAGTTCGTAATGGATACTACAGCATATGACAGAAAATTGTCTGTGCAGGTTTACGTCTTCGTATAGCCCCCATATAACTGTACCTCCGGTATTTTGATGATTTTAGCTACATTATTCACCGATTTTTTTAAGTTTCGCATTTGAAATATGACAAAATTTACCTAGCAAATACATGTTCGTCTACCCCGCAAATACATGTTCGTCTATTTTTCTGAAGTGAGAGCAACATTACCTGAAATGTTTGCTTCGTATTCTCTTGGTCCGAGCCGGGATCGAGATCAACTCCAGACCATGGTTCTGCTCCGTTTGTCGTAATCACATCCGGCTTAAACCGGATACAGGAGTTCAGCGATAGGGACTATATTGCTTCCTGTTGCGCCAATGTAGACGTCAGTGAGTCTTCATCTTCGCCGTCCACATCGTCGGTAGCGGTCAAGTGTGGAACCGCCGAGGTAGAGGTGCTTCCGCCCCCACGCTATATGCCCAATGTCAGTTCACTTCTGGTAGGCAATAACCGTCTAGTGCTAGGGGATTTCAATGTCCATTATGAATTATGGCATTCCGTCCTTGGTAATGACCAGAGAAGCATGGCGCCGGCTGAGCAAATCGATTGCTAAACGTTTTGCACAGTGAATGAGGACGCGCCCACCGTCGCACTTTCCTTCGCCATGGGAAAGCCAATTGGCAAGAATTCAAAGAATATACCAATCGCCGCTTCAGGAAACTGCCCTGATGTTCTGGTAGCAGATATGTGTTTCCAGGACATCATCAGAGCGACAGCCGCTCGCTATACACATGCTTGGCGAATACCTGAAATAAGGCCAAATTTTCCAGCAGTAGAAGCGGGATTAGCGAATGAGGGAGTTGAGTTTTTCCGTACAAATGCTAATAATCCCCGAGTCAGGAATCTTACTCTGGAGGAAAAGAGGTTAGTCGGTGAGCATAAGCGGAAAACGAGCTAGAACTTCTGAAGCATGCAGCATCAATACCGAATCGAGTAAGCTGTGGGCAAGTGTTAAGCCGCTCTCGAACCCTGGGAAAAGAATGATCGGATATCTGTCTCATTTAACGGCGTAGAAGTGATAGATCCGAAATTACAGATCACCCCGAGAGTGATCGTACTAAGAGGAGGATACTACGCCATGTATGACCTGTTCCAGCCGAGGAGGTACCACCACAATTTACGTTGGATGATGTTGCACATGTCATCAGAAGCGCCAAGTCATCCAAAGCGTAGTCCTGACAGAATCTTCATGGTGATGTTGAAGCAACTAGATGAATCAAGAGTTGAGTATTCTACCAAATCCCTCAACCTGTCGTTAGCTACCCTTATAGTTCCCGATGCCTGGCCGATATTACTTTTGTCACCAGTAGCAAAGACGCTTGAGGCTTTAAGAGAGGTTTCCCAGTAGCTTGTCATCAACACGGATTCCGAAAATTGCATAGCACAACGACAGTTTAACATGTCATTTCTACACATGTCAGCCGCACACTTTTCACCACATGGACTGCGGAGATGAGGCTATCCTTGAATGTACAGGTCGATGGTGTTGTAATTCCGACCACCAACTACTCCATGATCTTAGAAGTCATTATTACTCATTATGCGCCTCTGGTGCGGTCAGCGAACGTTAGTGCTACGTGGCACAGCCTGCCCAGCTTGTGACACAGGTCCACATGACACGCTGCACCTATTACCCTGCCCAGACAAACCTTCTTAACAAACTCCGATTTCCGTTGTGGACCCAACCCGTACATGCTGTATCCTTTTTGAGACTGGACTTAGAAGCAGAACCCGATTGAGAGGAGGCAGAACGAAAACAGCAGTATAAGCTGCTACAACAACGACAACAAGAAAAAAATAATAACTAAACCAAAAAGCCTTATTATCCTTAAAAATATGTAACACTCGTTTATGAGATCTTTGGATATTCTTATTCTTTGGCGCTTGATAACGAACATTTATTTCCTCTTTAAACAAATATTTTACAAAATATGGTCAACGACAAACTTTTCCGTAAGGTTGCTTGGGTTTCTGCTGAAGTACACAGCCCGTGTTGAGGTACCTTTGATCAAGTTCCGCTGTTAGTTTCTTCTTTTCATCTTTCTCTTTGGCACAATGTTCCATGTACAATTTATACCATTCATTATTGCGAACCTTGAAAACAAATTATAATTGTATATGAATATAAAATAATAATTTTGATTTTCGATACCTTTTGTCTATGAGATTCATCCAATTCTTGGCAGATTTGCTGATCTTCTCGATTTCGAAAAATGAAATCCTCTTCGAAGTTGTTCTGTTCTTGGGCAGTGTTACGTAGCCGATTGTTTGTGATTTGAG